CCTTATTTGAGTAGGAAATATTTTCCCCAGGATGTTGTATTTTAACTCTTTATGGTATATTTTTTCAAAAAATACACCAAAAAAGTTATTTTTTTGTAGTCTAAATTTTATGTTATTTTGTAGAAAAGACTTTACCTCTAAGATTATACAAATATTCTTCATGGGCTCTTCTAAAATTTTAAACAAAAATATTTTAAACAACAAAAAAGTCAAACATTAAGAAAGAAACAGTCTCTGAGCTGTTCAGAATACATTTAACTTGGTATGAGGTTGGGATCCAACACCGTTTCTAGAGGGTGCCGAGTAGTCAGGAATTCTATTTATTGATTGAATTAGCTAATGTTTCCTCACTGATGTGAAATGCTGCCTTTAAAATTCCCACATATATTTAGGGCTATTTCTGGATATTCTATTATATTCCATTGCTCTGTCTATTCATGTGTCAGTATCTCACTGTTTTCAGTATCATAGCTTTTCAGTTTTAATTTCGGGTGGGGTTAGTCTTCCCCAATTAATCTTTTTCAGAAATATTTCAGCTATTTCTATTTATTTTTCCATGTAACTTTAGAGTCACCTTGTCTGATTCTGAACACTCCTATGGTTATTTGCATTGGTTAAATTTGCATCTGTTAAATTTATACGTTAAGGGAGGACTGATGTCTTTATGATGCCACCCTAGCTAATCAACGGGATGCATTTCTGTTAATAGTTATTTCTTTGAGTTTTCTTCTAGGTCTCTCAGTAGTGTTTTAAAATTTTCTTCATTGAGATCTACATTTCTTGTCATACTCCAGGTATTTTATTTATGAATGTGATTTCTTTCTGCGTATGTGCGAAGAGGAGTTGGTGCTATCTGATCTCATGTTGATTGTATCCAGCCACTTGATTGTCTTTTTATTGTCCATGGCAGTTTTTCCAGTTGACTCTCTTGTATACCATATCACCCTTAAGTAACAACGCATTTCACTTTCTCCTTTCCAATTTATTCTTTCCCTTGACTAACTGCATAGGCTGGGATGTTGAGAAGAACGTTAAATTATATAGTCACAAGAGCAGACATTTGCTTAGTTTTTTAATTAATTTGGAATAAGATAATTTATCAAGTTAAGGAAGCATCCATCTACTCTCACTTAATTGTTTTAAATTAGAATTTTATCAAAATTCCTTTAAGCATCTATGGAGGTGACTATATAATTATTTCTTTTTATTTTTGGACATGAAGAATGAAATTAATACTTTCCCAAAATTTGAACCTCCTTGCTTTCCTGAAATAAACTTTACTTGGTCATGGTGTAGTAGCCTGTTAACATGTAGTAATGTTCTGTTTGCTACTATTTTATATAGGATTTTGCACTGACATTCACAAATGAGAATGACCTGGGATTTATTATACTCTATCTCTGTTAACATTTTGATATAAATATTATGTTCATTTCAAAAAAGAATTTCCAAGTTTCCTCTCTATGAATAACAATATTTTTAAATAGTATTACAGTTATCTGTGTCTTAAAAGTTTCTTAGAATTTCCCTGTGAAGACTTCTTAGTCTGGTGGCTTTGCGTTAACTCTTTGACAGTGTCCTCTATTTCTTCTATAATAATTTTTCCATTTTAGTGATTTTATTTTCTTTAAAAACCATCTACTTTCAAATTTATTTGCACAGACTTCAGGATAGAATTGTCTCATCCTTTTTTTTTTTTTTTTGAGACAGAGTCTCACTCTGTTGCCCTGGCTAGAGTGAGTACCGTGGCGTCAGCCTAGCTCACAGCAACCTCAAACTCCTAGGCTCAAGTGATCCTCCTGCCCCAGCCTCCCGAGTAGCTGGGACTACAGGCATGCGCCACCATGCCCGGCTAATTTTTTCTATATATTTTTAGTTGGCCGATTAATTTCTTTCTAATTTTAGTAGAGGCGGGTCTCACTCTTGCTCAGGCTGGTCTCGAACTCCTGAGCTCAAACAATCCGCTCGCCTCGGCCTCCCAGAGAGCTAGGATTACAGGTGTCTCATCCTTTTGATTTATTCTATATCTATGATAATTTCCCACTTATAACCACTTTGAATATTTGTGCTGCTTCTTTTCTTTCTTGATTAGCTAAGGTAATAATTACCTATCTTGTTGCTACTTGTTAGAACACGTGAATCAGGAGGGTGAAAAAGCCTTTAAGACCAAAGGAATTAAGTCCTGGCGCCAAGAATATGCACCCTATGGCAGAAAGTGGGCTCAAGGCCAGTTAGGAAGCTTCCTCCGCCTCCTCATCAGGTAAGGCCTAGAAGGATCCACAGAACAAAGTGCCACCAACACTACCACCGCCTCCCTCCCTCCCTCCCAGAGGCCCAGCAGTTTTCAGGGCACATGCACACTTGGTCTTACTTGGTCCTAATAAAAGGTAGGCAGGTGGCATTACCCCTTAACCCTATAGGTTTACAATGGAAAAAGGCTCATTCAAAGGAAAGTCACTGTTCTGGGAGGAGTCCGCAGATCTGGTTCTGGTCTCTCCAGCCAGCCAGGTCTCTGCTCTATGGGGCCTCAGAGCCTGCACACCTCACGTGAGGAGGCTGGATCAGCACATCGTATGACTGAAGGTTTCTTCACACTTCAAGGAAGATTTGGAATGGCTCAGGGTGAACACTGCAAAATGCAGTTGTCTTCAGTACATGATGTCCACAAAGGACTTCCTGACGCCCTGAGCTGATTGGCTGAATGAGTATAAAACCCAGCGTGAATTGCCTTGACAGTGGGGGTCTATTTCTTTCACACAGGGGCTTATTTTTTAAATCAACATACCTCATTCTGGGGAGAATGACCAATAAAAATGTTGCGACAACAGCAAGTGGTGAATGAGTCTATTCCGTGATTTCTGTCCCCCACAGACACAGAGAAATGTGTCTCAGAGAACTACCCTCCACCCAGCAATTCCACTTCTTCCCTTATCCCAAGGGAACAGTCACAGTTGTGCTCAAAGGTTCATTTACAGTCACGAAAAACTGGAAAACTACATGTCCACAGTTAACGGGCTGGTTAAGTAAATCATGGTGCATTCATAGGACAGGAACTTGGATAGTCAGCAAGTGAATGCCTCAGAGGACTATTTATTAAAATGAATGAATGGTCAAGATACAGTAGCACATGGGGAAAAAATACAGATATCAAAATGCTAACAGTGATTATATCTGAAAGACTGTATTATGGATAATGCTCTTTTCTTCTTTGGGCTTTTGCTATTTTCTAAATTTTTAACAATGCTTATATATACCTTTCTAATCAGAAGTAGGTTATAAAAGGAAAAAAAAAGAAAAAAAATCAGTCTGATTGTTTTCCTGTGTGTTCTCTAGTGCTCTGCCAGCAGTGAAGTGCAGCAGATGTGCTGTGCCTGAAAAGGTGCCAGGCCTGCCAGCCGCCGCAACCCCCACCCACCTTCCACACGAGTCAAGTGTACACAGGGCTCTATGAGGAGCACGGGGCTTGGAGGCTGGCGGGAAGCTGGGCTCAACTCCCTCACTTCCACGTTCTATCAGTCAGACATGGCCCACGGGGCCTGTGAAGACCCTAACTGTCAAAGTGCTAACTGGCAGAGAGAGAGGAAGACCTCCCCAGATAACGTCACAGAAAGCTCGGTGAATGAACGAGTACCCAGTGTCCAGCTGTGCTATGCAGAGAGGCGTGATTCTTCTCCGACCATCTGCTGTCCGAGTCTCAACTTGTTTCTTCAAAAGATTCTGGTAAAACAGAGTCACATAAATGAATGGAAAAGTTTCTAGCAACTATCTTCAAATATCAAAAAAATCAAGCTTCCTTTTTCCCTGGTGATAAGAATACTTAGCATAAGATCTACCTGCGACAGAGGCCTCTTAGCATATTTTTAAGTGTGCAATATTGTACTGTTAACTGCAGGCACTGTGCTGTACAGTAGACCTCTAGGACTCATTCATCCTGTAAAACTGCAACTTTGTGCCTGCTGACTAATTGGGCACAGTTTTCCCTGCCCCCAACCACTGGTACCCACCATTCTACTCTGCTTCTGTGAACTTGATCCTCATGTAAGTGATATCACAGTGTCTGTCCTTCTGTGTCTGGCTTATTGTTTAGTTGTATGCCTTAAACATGTATACCTTTTTGTCAATTATTCCTAAAATCAATAGGTTTAAAAAAAGTAAGGCTTTTAAGGAAATGTATTCTAACTTCCCTTTCTAAGTCTTTCTGGTACACCTAAACTAAGCCACCTAATCAAAGAACAAGCCTTTTTTATCAGGGCATGTGCTCACCTTAGTGCACAATAAAGAAGGGCAGAAAGCTTCCAAATGAACTAGCACCACCTTCATCTCTTGCACCAGTACCACAGAGCTGGCAACCAGGTTCCCAGTGCAGCAAGCACATACCAGACTGGCCACCCCCACCCAACAGCCACAGGGTCAATGAAGGAACTACAGGACTGAGACTGCACTCATGAGCCACACTCTTGTCACTGAGCTGGTGATTTTCAAGCTGACTTTTATCACAAAATCCCTCTTCTACAGAAGGCCATAACCATGGGCTCCCACTCACACATTACACCTGAATCACCTGGGGGAGGTTTGCCAACCTATACAAGTTCCTGGAGATGGTGTTAGCTCCCTAGGTGATCTCATGTCCTAACCTGTTCCTGCCCCATTTCCAACCCCCTTTCCATGAAACACAGGCTTTCAGATGAAGAAGAGGAGCCCACAGATGTCTCCTAAGGGCAGAGCCTGAAACCCACTGCTCTCAATATCTAGAATTTCCTAGAAAGGCCAACAGGTTGAGGTTTGGAAGTTCCTATAAGAGATGATGTGCTTTAGGGCTCCCTGGGACAAGGAGGGCTTTGATCAAGGTGACTCAGGCCCCATTACTGCCTTGTGCAGCTGTGGGCAAGGGACCAATCTGCCTAGGCTGGCTGACCCGTGGGACCTGTGCCAGACTCAGCACACACCCTCCTCATGACCACTCGTATCTGTGTCCTGTCCCTGGGCATGTGCCCATGCCCTCAGTGCCACCAGGCTGAGCTCTCACCTTCCTGATGTCTTCCAGACTCTCGCCATTGACGACACCTGCAACAGAGGCCGCTGAGCCTGGCTCTCGGGCTGGGGCACTCTTCTGGTCCAGCTGCTGCTGCTGCTGCCTCCGCTGGTACTTGAGCATTTCAGGGTTCTCGATGACGGCTGTGGAAAGCTGGGCCTCAGTCATGATGGCCAGGCTCTTGCCATAGGTGGACTGGTGAATGCGGCTCTGGGGGAAGCAGGGAGAGGTGCAACAGGCCGGCGTGAGTGCCAGCATGGCCAGTGCGGCCCACCAGCAGGGCCCTCCTGGCTCTGAGAGTGGAAAGGCCCCGATGCCAGTCTCATTGCCTCCCACCCTATTCTGCCTGTCCCTGACTAGACAGCTCTGTTGACATCTCATGCCCTTTCTTGATGTTTATGACCTCCTATGAATGTGCAGCTGGGGATGACAGTGAATGAATGCGACAGCTGACAAGACAACACCTACCCCATTTGGTCTGGTGCAGAACAAATGGCCATCCCCATTGCTTCGAGTGAAAGGAAGACACTCAAATTGCTAACTTAAGGCTTTCAAATCACTCCAAGGACCCCAGACTCACACAGGATGTACAAACAACTAGCATGGCATATTGCCCAGGAACAGGGACTGTGGTTAACAGGACATCTGCCTCACACCAGAGCATGGGTGGGAGAGGTAGCCTTCCAGGAGAGGTGCTCTGGGACTTGCTCCTGCAGGCGTGTGTGGCTAGGAACCTTCCTCCATTGCCACCTTGGTTCTTGCCCCTTCTGAGTCCGTTCCCTGGAACCTCAAGCCAGAATTCAGAGTTTGATCAAGGTTCCCTAGTGTTCCTCAAACACGGGGTCCCTACCTGTGATCCGGGAAACAGTAAGCTAGATACAGTTATTGCACAGGCTCCCTGGGTGACTCTCCAAGGGGGTGCACAGCTATCCCCAGGTACCTGATGACAGTGATAAGGTGGGAAGAAGATCTGAGGCCACTGAGATACTCGCTCCTTCATGAAGAATAATGGGGTGCCAGGTCCTGTTCTAGGTGCAGTCAACAAGGCAGACCTCCATCTCCAAGTGGTTTACATCTTAGAGAGGGGGTCACAATAGTTTAAGAGGGAGCTTCTGTCAGCAACAGTGTCACTATGGGGAGAGCAGCTGGCCTGTTTCCACAGAGCTCCTTTCAGACGAACACATACATCCTACAAGGTGTTGGAGGCCCGTCTATAGCAACAGCAGGTTTCCTAGTATGTAGGGAAAGCAGGGCCTTTCCCAAACCCTTGCAGAGAGCACAGTGGCACCACTGCCCCAGGCAGAGCAGAAGAGAGTAGGCCTAATTCACGCTTCTAACCTAAGGGTCACTTATGGTCTGGGTAAAGGGCCACATTGTTTTCAGAGGCTTAGTTACCTCACTGATGAAATGAATGAGCCCTGCCTTGAGGGTTTTTGTGAAATCATACATGCAAAACACATGGCCCAGAGCCTGGCATACAATAAGTGCTAAGAGATGACCAGTACTACTATTATAATGGGGAAAGTAATGTGAAAAAGGACCCTGGGGGAGTCACTTCAGCTCTCTTCCAGGGCAAAAGCCACCCAATGGGTGGCCTTATCAGCTCAAGAAGAGATGTCCAAGGTAGTTTTATTCTTAGTTCCAGGACTTGTTTTTGACATGAATAGAAACTCACTTTTAAATCAATCTATTCTGTAAAGAACATAAGGATTATAATCTACAAAAGGTGAATACTCCATTAAACTTTAAGAAACAATGTGTCATCGTATCCCACAAGAGGGTCCAATCGAAGGGGTGTCTCACAGCTATCCCAGCTAATAATGTGCCCCAGAGCGTGCAGCAGCACATGGGCCACCAGCCTACCTTCTCCTCCTCACTCAGGGGGTCTCCGAGCTCATCCTGAGAGAAGTCGAGGAATGCCACAGAACCGTCCATGGAGCACACCAGAATGCCCAGCCCGTTCAGAGTCCTGAAAGACACGGCTGTCACCAGCCTGGGAGCAGGAGCTCGAGGCAGACCCCATGGCTCAGCGGCTGGTCTGGGGCAATACTTCAGGGAGATGGACCCCTTCTGTGGCCTGAGGGTGGTGGGAATGATAATCCCTCCCGAGGACCCTAGTGTCCTCCAATTCTAAGCCTGTGTACAAAGCATCTTTTACCATATGTTTTGTAAGAATTTTCAATTTTATTTATCTTATTTTTGAAACCATTTAAAAAATCCCCAAACTCCAGGAAGTATCCACCTAAATCTAGTCATTTTCATTCATGGAAAGACAAAGAGTAACATGGAGCCCATAAGGACCACATCATTCTCCTCATCTCAGACAAGTCCTGAGGTGGTATCTTCCAGTGGCAAATACTCCACAGGGCATGACATTACCACAGCAGCAGGCACACAGCCCAGCTCCTGAATCACATGCAAGTGGCACCCTGGTGTCTGCACCACTGTGCCACCTGACCCTAATCACACCCAGAAGGCCTCGTGTGCTAATGTGTGGCTTCTCCTTTCTTAGCCTACGCTCCGTAACCAGGATCCACCTTACCAGGAAATGTCCATGATGGACTTGTCGAACAGCTCATGGATGACCACCAGCGGCCGCTTCAGACACGTGAGCTGGAAGGAAAGAGGCAGCCGAGGTTCATGGAGTTACTGAAAGCCCCTCTGTGCACGCAGCTCAGTTAACAAGATCAGCCAGGCAGCCTTGAGCAGAGCTTCTGCTGACAGTTAGGGCGTCTTCAATTCTATTCAACAGTGGCTGCTGAGATCTCTAACTGTGGAAACCAAAGCCTATCAAAAATGTGCACCTCACTGGGCGAGGTGAGTCATGTCTGTAATCTCAGTACTCCGAGAGGCCAAGGCAAGATGATTGTTTGAGCCCAGGAGTTTGAGACCAGATTGGGTAACATAGTGAGATGCTGACTGTATAAAAAAATTTGAAAAATTAGCCAGGTGTGGTGGTACATATCTGTCGTCCTGCCTACTCGGAAGGCTGAGGCAGATCACTTGAGCCCAGGGAGTTCATGACTGCAGTGACCTATGATCATGCCACTGCACTCAATCCCGGGTGACAGAGTAAGATTCTATCTCCAAAAAAATAAAAATATACATCCTAGAGTGGATCCTGCCTCCAGGACATGCTGTGGCTTTATACACAGACAGCCAGAAACAGAGAAGACAGAGGGGAAGTGGGTTCTGGAAGGGCTAAAATCTGAGCAGGTGGATAGCCCCACAGAGTAGACCAGTGAGAGTCTACTACTACCAGGTATGTACTCAAAAAGAAATTAAAACATATGTCTACAAAAAGACTTATATGAAATATTCATATCAGCTTTAGTTATAATATCTCAAAACTAGAACCCTAATGTCCATCAACAGGAGAACAGATAAACGAACTGTGGTATACTCACAGAGGGGGATACTACACAGCAATGATAAGGAATAAACTACTGTTAAGTGCAACAACATATATGAATCTCAAAAACATTATGCTAAGCAAAAGAAACGCAAGACACAAAGTAGTAAACACTGCACAATTGCATTTATATGAAGTTCAACAGCAGGCAAAACTCATCAATGTAATAGACGTCACTAGATTGGTCACCTTGATGGAGGAGAGCACGGCCTTTAACTGGGCGGGACCAAAGGGACGAGAAGGAGTGTTCTGGGCAGTGGTGACAATGGTGTGTAAACATATAAGACAATTCACCAAGCTGTACCTTTCAGGTGAATGCATTTTACATACATTATATGTCAATAATAAGATTTTTCTAACAGGAAGCAAACACAACATGCTGTCTACGGCACTGACCACTGAGGGTGCTGCCTGAATCTGGACATGAGTGCTGCTCTGGCCAGGGGTCGGGATGGCCTCTCCCAGCTGGCCCAGGCCCAGTCCTCAGTGCTTGCTTCCAGGACAGCAAGAGGGCCTACAGGTTTCTAAGGAGGGGCTGACTCCAGGCACAGGGTAGAAGTACACGCTATCACCAAAAGCGCTGGGTCTCTCTTTCCTTCAAGGCCTCCAGGCTCACTACCTCCCCAGCCCACACCTCCTGCCCCGCAGCAAAAGCTAAGGGTGACTGGGCTCACCCAGACAGAGAGTGACCGGTCCTTGCTGCCAACAGCACAGCAGCAGTATGGGCAGCTGGGCTTCGCAGAACTCCCGTTCTTCTGCTTCTTTTTGAAGATTTTTGGGTTGAATTTCTAAAGCCAAATAACAAGTGATAAAATAATTAATCAAGCATCAGACATGTACCCCATGCCCAAGCATCAGGAACATAAACAAATCCCAGCCCACCAATGGGAGACCCCCTGACAGCCTGCAAGCCCAGGCACTGGGCGCTATTTCGTCATCATAACCACCTAGGAGGCACTGGGCTGCTAATGAAATAAAGGCTCAGGGAGGTCAGAAAACATGTACAGTCGCCAAATGAATAAGTGGGGAATGCAGATTTGAAGCTTGCTCTACCAAACTCTCCATGTCTGGAGCCAGCAGCCAGGTGGATGGAATGGTAGCTACTAACACTGGCCCTTCTCAACTCCCCTGGCTGGGCAGGGCCAGCCCTAGGACCAAGGAAGAAGCTGAGCCCGCAAAGGGGCTTCTGGGACAAGGACCATTCTGTACCTCCTAAGGGAGGCCAAGGGAATGGCAGGAGAGGTCTAATCCACTGCATTCCTTCTCTGTTCATTGCATCTGTTGTTCATAGCCGTAACTGTCGAGCAGAGATCTGCTCAGCCCGAGAGGCACTCATGATCTCACTGCACCAGGGACCATGGCTATGTCAAACAAAGGTGCTTGAGTGGCTGCTCAGCCCAGGGAACCACCCTCAGTGTAACCTGGCTGTCGCTTTTGGAAAGGCTGGAAGCACACACTGAGCTCCTGTCCACCTCCCTGGATTGAAAGGGGGTGGGAGCTCTTGGAATCCCTAAGCTAGGACAACTGAGGGCTGAGGAAGGGTGGCTCCTGAGAGCCTGGTGTTAGGTGGCTTATAGAGGTTTTAATTCCAGAGGGCTGGCAGGAAGGGCCAGGAGTACACAGACCCTGGAGAAGATAGAATCCAGAAGTGTGGATGCTGGGCTTGAGTCTCCACTATCACCGAGTGGGCTGTAGGGCCTCATGGAGGTTTCTGACACCCAATAAGGCAGGCATCATGACCTCACAGAGCCACTCTGAAGTGGTGGTGAGGAGTGCATGAGAGAATCATGTAGAAGCACTGTGCTAATCATGAAGCAGTGATTTTCAAACATTTTAGCAAAAGGCCCTGGTTCAAACAAAATCTTACATGAATTCCAATACAAAAAAAATGTAAAAAGCAATATTTTATTCATATAAAATTTATGTCTTAAGGAGTAACATATGACATTTATTATCAGCTTAAACACAGAGAACGACAAGCCTATTTGCATCAGGGTCCTGGATGATCCTTCCCTTCTATCACCCTTGGCCTGCCAATCTATTTATTTTGTTTGGTTGCCCAGTGTGAAAATCCTGGTTCTCACACGTTATTTGCAACTATGTAACAGCTTGCTGTGGGCACTCTGACGACACTCTTCATTCAAAGTCCTCGAGAAGCATGAAAGGAAGGATGAGGCCCTTCTCAAGCCTGCTGCACCTCACGTCTCTGCATTCTTCACCCTCCACAGCAAGGTCGGGAGGCAGCGCCTGACTCAGCAATCCACGGCACATCCTTGCAGCTGCGACTGACCGCTGCTGGGCGTGGGAACGAGCACACTGCTTGGTGGACACAACAGAACGGTCCCTGTATTCACAGGAGCCGGGCGAGGGAGATACTGTGCTCAAGCACCTGTGAGCACACCTGAGTATGTAAAAGGCTAGTGTGCAGCCGCAATGTTCCTAACCAAAGATGGATTTTGGTGATACTATGTTAAAGTCTGCAATAAAACATGTGAATATGTATTCCATTTTGTAAAATTAGTTTTTAAATATTTAAACTTAAGTATTTAAAACAAGAACAAGTATGTGCTGAATCTCAGAGCCATCTTCCTCAGCCCCCTACACGCACTCACCACGACAGTCACAGCTTTCCGATGCCCCACGAAGTCCATGTTGGTCTTCCAGCCCTCCCGTTCGATGATCTGGGCAGTGGGGCCAGAGTTGTTCATGGCATGGGCAGACACCAGGTAATGCCCATCAGGCGACCAGCTGAGCCGCAACACGTGGGTCGTCCCTCCACACTGAAAGAAACACCTGCACTTGAAAGGAGCTCAAGACTAACTTTGTGACCAAAACTCTGGCCTCAAGGATAAAGTCAAACTCCGATTTACAAATGTATGATGCCAAAGGGTACACCCCAAGCTTCTAGCTACACTGAGAGTCTCTTTCTGCCATCCAGATGGCCCAACCAAAGGGGCTCTGTCATATGAATTTGGGAACTACAGCATCCCACACTGCCCCCCAGGAGCTGAACTAAAAACCGCAGCACAGAAGTATAGGCCCTGAGGGGACCTGCAGGAAGGCCAGTTCTTTGAACCATCACCTCTTCGTGAGTCAAATATCTTTGGCCGCTGACCCACTTCTATACAGCACCTGTTAACCCACCACGTGACATCTGCAGACCATCCTTGAGATACACTGCAGCAGTGAAAACGCACACGGGAGCCTAGAGGAGCCTGCCTGTAATGCAGCTGGTGGCCATGAGGCACCACCTACTCTCTTGAGCCTGTCTCCTCACCCAGGTGGTGGTGAGGACACCACCAAGGAGAAAGGTCCATAATGTTCTTATAAACTGTAAAAGGCACAGCAGAAAGGCACTGTTCCCCTGACCCTTCACATTATTCCTCCTGTAAGGTGAGATGGTATGGGTCCAGAGCCAGCCCCCTGAAGCTAACATTGGGCCTGGGGTTAAGATCTTGACCTCACAACCCCACAGTAGGACAGGACAAAGCAGGGTCTGAGGGCAGTGACATCGCCTGCCTCAACTTCCACCCCAGGCCAGAGACTCCCTATGCCATCTGGGGTGGCAGGATGAGCCCACCCAGAGGAGGCTGAAGAGTGATGCCATTTCCTACTGGTACTCAAGACACTCCCACAGCCGCCTCCAGGAGCCCAGCTCATGGCACCTCATTGCCTGGCAGCCGGAGTCCCAAGGAGCACCAGAAGATGTGAGAGCCCATGTCACCTGTACCAGGCAGCTGCAGTCAAGGAGGGCAAGACTAAGTAAGGTAACAATCAATACTCATATACCCAGCCTGGGAGCTGGTGTTGGTTTTGGGTGAACTTTCACTTCCCTCCTGCAGCCAGCCCAACCAGTGGCGAATGCCTATTCTTCCTGCAAAGCCTTGCTCATGTGCCCTTGCCCTGAGAAGCATTCCTGATGTAGTCACTCCCTCACGCTGTTTCTGCACTCTGGACAACTCTATCACATACTCACAGTGGACATGAACATGTCTTTCCTGCAGGGCTACAAGGGTCAAGGGGAGAGACTCCGTCTCAATCCACTTTTATTTCTCTGTAACCAGGATTGCCTTACATACAGTAGACACTTAAGTGCCTGCATAATGATGATCCTCAGCTCTCATTCCACTTGAAATCAGAACTCAAAGGAAGTGGTAGTAAAATATAATACTATTGAAGCTACTGTAGTCTCATCGCCAAACATTTTGCAAACCGTACTGCTGACTGTACTTGGAGGCACAAATCGGCTGGCCTGCAGAGCAGATGCCAGCAAGCACAGCCGCGGTACACTGAGGAGCGACAACAGAGTCTCCCCTATCCCGCCCCTGCCCCTAATAAGCAGGCAGCTCGATGAAAATTCCACACGGTAAGAAAAAGTTTCATCCGTGTCTATGGCAGTGAGCTGGGCACAATGACACAAGGTACACATCCCTAAGGTTCCCTTCAACTTTAAAATCCATAACTTTTTTTCACTTTAAAGTTGGATAATAAACGATTTCTCAGAAATGAAAGATTTATCATCTGACTCTTAGGGCCAGAGGGCCCACCCGAGAGAACACTGACTGGCCTGCACAGGCCCTGGACTCCACGCATCCCCCACGTGGTCTGGCCACAGCCGGCTCCCTCTCTGTGCTGGGTCAGGAAGGGGCTGGAGCAGGTGCTGGGGCCAAGCTCCCTGGGCTGTCCCCAGTTACCTCATCAAAAGGCTTGGTGATGCTGGTCTCTAACTGCCAGTCCAGTGTCCTCCACACCTTCAGGCTGCGGTCATCAGCTTGAGAGGCTATGTATTTGCCAACAGGGTCCCAAGTCAACCCTTTCACCAAGCCAGAATGACCTCTCAGAGTAGCTAGAATTTCTGTGAAGAAAAAAGAAATGTGGAAGGTGTCACCTGGGGAAAACAATGACTCTGTGTAGAAAACACAAGCTGTCATCAGTGGGCCATGGGATGGAATCCCCACAGAAGGGACTTCAGCAGTCTGCCTTGGCCAGCCCCTACCCAAGGCACAAACAGAAGAGCCCCTCTTGTGATCTCCACCAAAGCAAAAGCCACCTGAAGACATGACTGCATCAGGGAGCCAGGCAAACAGGGGGCACAGGTTTGGGCCAGAGCCGCCAATTCTACCCCTGTGTCTTGTCTGTAGGAGGCAGCCCTGCCCATGGCTGCCCTCCCTGGGCCATGACATCAGCAGTTGATGTGAGCCTCCCTGGCAGCTGTCTGGGAAGCAGGCCTCACAGCTCAGGGGGCTGGGCAGCAGGCTGAGTCTTTCTTTAGTCATCGCTGAAGACAAAGGTGTGCACGAGAGCACCTCCTACAGACTTGCAATCCAAATGCTAGCCCAGTCTCTAAAACTGCCCCTCCACAGCCAGACTGATGTCCCCACACATGCTGCCGGTGGCTTTCAAAGAGAGTGAAAATTACTTGGATCCAAGCCCATCCATGACGCATTTTAGCCCACGAGGAAAACATACTCCAGATACAGAGTGGGAATATGAGAAGTATTTTACTAGTTACAAACTGCAGCACTGTATGAGGTTATGCTATCTGTTGTAATTTTAAACACAATGAGTAAGAAAAATCAATCTTTTGCAAAACTGGGTTTGTGCTAGCCCACGTGTTCAGGGGCTTCACAGAGGGGACAGCAACCGAGCTGAACCACGAGCTCAGTGGTGGGGTGCACACAGCATGCGTGAGGGTGCTGGGGTCCCTGTGCCAGTCTCTATGGCACATCCATGCCAGCGCTCGGTTACTATTTTTCTTTAGCATAAATCTCTTTTTAAACCTTAAACAAACGTAACTGGTAAAGAAAAAAAGAACTGGATTACTGACAAGACACATAAATCCTAGGCCACTGTCATACATTTGTTGCCACCAAGACTAAGGAGAGACTCCCCCACACCCCCCGACAGGCAGTACTGCTGGCGACCTGCCAATTTCTGCCAACAAACAGTCAGAGAAGACCCCAGACCTGGAAACTTCACAGCGTTCCAGATGACGACAGTGTTATCCACGCTGCATGAGGCCAGCCAGGCATCGTGGGGAGACCATGCTACATCCATCACATCTGGAAGAAGACAGAGGCTTGTGGTGAGATCTCTCACCTGGCATTCAGACCCAGTGAGTGAGTACTTGGCAGCACCCCTGTATGCTAGCTGGACCAGTGCCCTGGGGTTCTCACATCTGAGGACACTTGATCTGGGACCATCACAACCAGATCTTTTTCTTTAACCAGCCTGAACAAATTCTCTGCTGAAGTTTTTCAACCAGTCATAAAATGTAAAGCATGTAACTGACCCCAGTGCCCCACTCCTTTTACAGAGGAAGCCGCTGAGGGCGTGGCTGAGTGCTGGGGCACCATGTGGAATCACCCATGCACGAGAACCGAGGCCTGCCATTTCCTGGGTCTGTGGCTGAGGCACACTCCTCAGCCCTGCTGACTTGCTTCTCCAATCCTAATTTGGCCTTCCTCCGTGAAGCCTCTTGAGCACGAGGCACGGTGGATAGGCACTTGGTGGAATGCCTGGCACAGCCAGAGCCCCAGGGTTGCTGATGACTGAGTGCCAGCCATCTCTAGGCCCTCCTGCTCAAGAACTGGGCCTCACCTTCCAGACCCTGCCAGGAGCACCCCTTCCCTTCTAAGCCTTCAAACAGAACGAATCACGCTCATTTCTTTGTGACTCAGTTTCTCATCTGTCAAGTGCAGAATGAAAAACAAAACCTATGCTCATTGGGTCACTGTGAGGATTAATGTGAGAAACTGCCACAGCACCGTGCCAGGCACACACCAAGGCATCGATGAGGTCAGCCGTGACGATGGCGCCAACCTTGCCTATCCTGCCATCAGGGGTGAAGGGCGCGGTCTTGGTTATTTTTCCAACCTCAGCGCCTGGTGCAGTGCTAGGTATACAGAAGAATGATTGGTGAGTTGAAGAAACAAATAGCAGCAAGGTAATAGCTATTGAGTCCTTTCCCCACAGATTTTAAAAAACAGATATAAGCAAAATAGTCAAAATTTCTATTGTACTTTTTTCTGGTTTGTATAAAATCTTCAGTGACAGCTTGACGAATTTTTTCACATTGTCTCACACTTTGGGCTCACATAGCGTACATACTAGTACGCTGCATTTCATACTCTTATTTGCCTGTGTGATCTTCGCGGCTTCATTTCCTTTTTGCCCTGCGTCCTATGTCGCTAAGAGCACTCACTGCTGTAAACAACCCAATTTAACACCGAATGCTAACTCGATTCCAGTTTTTCATGCTAATACACCTGTATGTGTCACTCTCTATACCCTGGATTATTTCTGAGATTGATACCCCAGAGTGGGAAGCCTGGGCAGAGTATCTGAACATTTTTATAGGTCTGGATTCTCACAGAATTGTACTCTGCTTTTTACTTTCTTTCTTTTTAGAGATGGGGTCTCACTCTGTCACCCAGGCTGGAATGCAGTGGCACAATCATAGCTCATTGCAGCCTGAACTCCTGGCCTCAAGCGATCCTCCTGCTGCCTCCAGTAGCTGGGATTGCAAGCATGAGCCACCAGGCCCAACTTACACTGTTTTTCGAAGACCCCCTAGGGCTTTATATTTCTACATGTAGAATGTCTGCTTCAAAACTGTTTCATTAGCAATGAGAAATTATGACTTTTTTTTCCTTCAGACTTATTAAGTACACTTTATATTTTGAAATTTTGGTTTGATTATTAGTGTAAGCGAAGATTGTTCATGTCTGCTTGTCTATTATTTAATGTCTCTTTGGACTAATGTGCTCACATATTGTCACCGTTTACTGGGAGGTCTTCTGTGCAGTGGGTCTAATAAACATGAATGTAGTACCTAAAGAATGAAGGAAATAAGAACTTTCTCTAGGAACTCAGAGTCCTGGAGGGGTAGATATGTAAACATCAGGACTGCCCTGTAGTACCCAAGTCCTAGGTCAGAGAAGATGGAGTCAGATGAGAACCCAGAAAGGAAACAAGATTTTCTTAGCAATTTCCACGGACCAGTTGTTACACAGACATTACATGCAAATGTCACCTATTTGTCTTTCTGTACTCTGGGAGTTTTATATAGTAAAGCCTGTTATTTTCCTTTGTGATTCCTTCTATTGCTAGAAGCCTGATAAACACTCAATTCTGTTTTCTCCTAGTTTAGTTATTTGGAATGTTTATCTCTTCAATATCTGAAATTTATTTTGGTGTATGCTATATTTAGTGAGGATCTAAATTAATTTCTTCTCCCTCATAAAGTACTGAATGGTTACTACACCATCACATGTGTGGAAGAGTCCTTTCTGTTTTTGATAAGTGATGCCTCCCTGACCATGCACTAAGCTCTCAGGTACACCGCGGTCTCCCTCAGGGCTGTCAGCTTTACCCTCAAATGCTTGATGTTTCACTGAAACTTTGAATGTTTGCAACAGTAACATTACTTATCCTTCCAGATGTCCTTCAGAGTCATTGCTGAGTTCTACAGTAAATCCATATACATGATTTTCTCCCTAAACTCTAAGTTTGGAGCTTCTGGCTTCGGCCTGTACACACCACCCTTTTCACTGTGGATCTATACACCCAAGACCCTCCCCCTCACTTGAGGGTCACAGTTGTTCTCACCATCATTCCTAGCGATTCCAGGAGGGTGATTCTTCTAATACCCAAGGCTCTTGGTTCCTTAAGTTTCTCCTCCACCAGTGACCTTGGCTTCCTCTACGTCATTCTCACGGTCATGCCCAGAGACCTTCCATGACAGATCACTGCAACCCCTCCTCTCAGTTCCAACCTTCCCACACTCCAGCCAGCAGCTCCATGCTTCCAGCCCACTCTTGGCTCCAACAGTACTGTACCACCACCAGGGAGCTCTGCTCTGCTGAAGCTGCTGTCCTCCCACTGCCTGTGTCCTTCCCTCTCCTCCAGCTGAGACCATACCACCACTCCTCTTTCTCTTCTGTCTTCATAGGTGCCTGACAAAGCCCCATCCAGTTCAATCCAGCTCTATCCTCCCTCACACTTTCTTGAGTACCCTCCAACTGGGCTTTGGCCCAACCACACCAAGGCAAATTGCGCTTGTCAAGGTCTCCAGCGACCTCCATGCTGTCAAGTCCAGTGGTCTTTCCTCAGTCCTCACCTTGCCTCTTGTGCAACACGCTCTTCCTTTAGATGCTCTCTTCACTCTCTCAACGGGCCTCTCTTTCTCAGATTCTTTTGCTGATTTCAACTCTCTAAATCCTAGGCTCCATCCTTGGACTCTGTTCCTTCCGAGAACTTTCTCCTGTACTCAACACTCGTATTTCCAAATGCCTACTCAGCATGTCCACTTATGCTGGCAACCTTAACATGTCTAAAACCGAACTCTAAAACATATCCTCTTATTTTACATACCTCTCTGTTAATAAATAAGAAAAAAACATGAAAAAAAAAAAGAAAGGAAAAAAACAAATAAAACATTTCCTCTAACAAGTATTTCTCTCCCGCTGCCCACAGACCTCCCTGTCTCAGGGTACAGCCCTGCATCCTTTCCAGTGCTCTGGCCCTGCACTCACTCCTCTGCCTATCTCATGCCCTGCATCTCATCCGCCAGGAAACTGCCTCTGACCACTTCTCACCACTTCCGTGTTATGACTGAGGTCCACTGTCTCTCACCTACATTATCGCAGCAATCACTTTGCTGGGGGCCCACGACAGAGACTCCATACAGCTGTAGCAGGTATCAATCCCTGCCCAAATCCCTCCTCAGCCTTCCCATCTTGCTCAGAAAAGAGCACTCACAATGGTCTAACAGGCCCCCCCAAGTGCCTGGGGACTCCCTGGACATACCAAGTGCATGTCCATGCCCCAGGGCTTTTTCCCTGGCCGTCCCCTCTGCCTGGATGGCCACATGGCTCTCCCCTCATTGCCATCTGGTCTCTCCTCAAATGTCACCTCCTGACTGTGCTCCCAGCACTCACTGTCCAGATCCTCACAGGACTATGCTCCTCGGTGCTCATCTTCAAATCTCCTACACAACTGGCTCCCTTTTGGTCTCTTGATAAGAATAAAATCTGCTTGAGAGAATAGTGCCTGGCACATGGCAGGTGCTCAATAAATATTTGCTACATAGATGAGCAAATACTAATGTGGGAAAAATGTATTCTATTCAGTCTTTCCATTTATGAAGTGGTCATTTTATATCTTTCGAAAAAGGTTGTGGTTTAAGTCTTAGAGATCTCATTCATTTCTTGGTAAGATTACTTATTCCTGGTTATTTACTGAGTTCTCTTTTTATCATGAGGTATTCTAATTGGCTATTACTAGTAAAAGATGAATAACTAAAAATTGTTCTGATATAAGGCCAATTTAAAGACTCACTAGTTCTAAGTGTTTTTCAGCACTTTATTTGTTCTAAGAGTTTTATTCCTTTGGTTTTTCTTGATGTACAATAATGCCACCTTCATTTCTGTCTTAATTTCTAGTCTGCCTGCCTTCTGACCTAATTGTACTGCAGAAATTCGAAAGCAACAGATTAAATGACACCACCCATCACTGTCTTTTCTCGGTACAAATGGGAACCAGGTTTAACTGTGAACTGTGGTATTTGCCACTGCTTTTAAAAATATGCAGGACTCTATTATATTAAGGAAATACCTTTCTATGGGCTTTTCTAAAAAGCATTTTTAGTAGGAATTGATGCTGAATTATCTAATATTCCTTTTAGAACACGGAAGATGACTCTGTGGCCTTTCATATTTAACCTCCTAGCATGTTATATTAATAGATTCCTTTGCATACAAAATTCTTCCATTATAAGTCATATTTAATCATAATAAACTACTCAAGTGTTATTATATTCACTAGTATTGTTTTTGATTTTTCTGTTTTTGTTCATATTACTCTATGCTTTTGTTTCACTGTTATTTTTCTTAGGTTTTGGAAACCCAGCATTATATTTTCTTTTGAAGAATAAATACTTCTAAGTTCTACATAATTTTTCTTAAAAGCTGAAAACAATGCATCCACAAATAATTTAGGATCAGTAACTATTTCTGAAGATAGCTTTTCAATTTTCATTGGTTATTACTCTGTTCAGGTTTTCCTAACCCTATAGTACCAATTTCGAAAACTTATATTTTCTGGAAAATTATCTTTGAGTATTTTGTTTTTAGGTTTATGCTTTTAATAGTATAAACATTACATTGTACTCTTTGATGATTTTTTTTCCATCTGGGTTAAATGTTTTTCTAGACCTTTAACTTCTAATTTTGTCTAGGTTTTTTCTCCCCACCCCTCAATTAAATATGTCAAGTAATACTTCTTACGCTTTGCTTTTCAAAGACTCAGTTCTTTCTTATTCATTTACTTCTGCTTTTCACTGATTTTCCTTCTTGGATGGTTCTGCCCACACTTGCTACCAGGACCAGTGAATAAGGAGTGGCAGGTACCCCAGCTGAAGGTGGTCAACCCTACATGCCTGGTTAAGGAGCCCATGGGGGTGGCAGGGCAGGAGAGATGTGAAGTCTGAGGTTAGGGTCTTGTAAGTCACCTCACGTGAAGCCCCATCCCACTGGGCACCCTCACAGACATGTGTGTCAAATTCCAAAGAAGGCCAACTAGATTTCACCATGAGTACTGTGACACAAATAAAGGCAAATTACACATTTTTATTGCTATCAAAGAGTAACACAATGCTACTGTTTCAGCTTTCACAAATGTGGATTCAATCTGTGGTCACAAGAGATGGGTCTGTTTTCCTTTAAACTGTCTACTCAGTGTTTGCTGAGCACATACTGCCAACGGATTAAAGACCATGCCTTCCACATCTCTCACTCCAGCCCTACCTTCTCCTAGAGCTCCAGGCTCAATTCTAAAGTTTCTTGACATTTCCTCTCCCAACCCTCCAAGCCTGGATACCCCATGCTGAACTAGTATCCGTCCCCACAAGCCTGTTGTCCTTATGGTCTCAGCAGAGGACATTTCTGGCTATCTAGGCACCCACCCAGGAATCTACCTCATCCCTCCCCGTGACTGTCCTAAGTATTCCCAAATCAATCTCTTCCTTTCTACCTCAATTATCACAGGCCTAGCTCAGGCCCTCACAGCATTCACTTGAACCACTAGAACAGCCTCCATTTCACAGAGCTGTCAGAATGACCTTGTACTTCAAAGCTCTTAATGGCTCCTGCCTCTTCCATGATAAGGGACACCGTCAGTAATAGGGACATGAGCTTTCCATGACCTGACCCTGGCACACCTGGCCAGCCTCACTTTGTACTGTTCCCTGTCTTGTACATAAAGTTCCAGCTGTGGTGAAATGCCCCCAACTCACCACTCATACCAAGACTTTCTCCCTTCTGCTGTCTTCCCCTGTGCCTGGAAAACCCTTTGGTTCATTCCTGAGTGGGACCACAGTCTTTGTGAGACAAGTCTAAATTGTACTCACTCTTGAATCCATGACATCTGGGTACACAGAGCACAGGCTACAGACTGATAGGGACCGACCATCCTCCTTTTTAGTCTAAATCCGTAAAATGTGCCCCTTTCCACACCGAGTCTACTTAAAACACGTTGCAAACATATTCAAGGTCAAGTTGAGAAACTCTTCATTGGGCACCTGTGAGCTGGTTTCTGGGGAACAAATAAAGTGCGCTTATGGACTCAGTGATCCACTGATGAAGGTAATGAGTCTGTTCAGCAGGATAAAGAGCAGAACGTGGGAAGTTCTACATTAAAGATATAAACATATACCCCATGAGGGCAAGAGTGGGCAGACTGAATGCAGCCAGAGGCAGGCAGTGGAGACAGTAACTACACAGATCTTGAGGGACAGGCAGGTATGACTGATGGTGATGGGGAGGGACAGCCCAGACACAGAGCTGCTGTAAGGATCAAACAGTCCCACAGGGGACAGGGAGGTGATGTTGCTGCTCTGAGCCAGCTGTCAGGGGCCCACACACCCCAAAAGGCAGTCCCACTCACCGCCTGAGTGATTCCGGAGGATGGAGACACACCGCCACTGCTCCACATTAGCAAGCTTACCACTGGAGCCAAACACGGTGCTGGGGCCGATGTACCTGTGTGAAAGAGGGGCCACATAGGCATTCACGGAGTGCTCTGGGCAGGGCACAGAGATGCTCCTTGCAGCATGGCTTATCATGGCAGACAGAACAAAGCAGAAACAAACAATGACCGAAAGCACAGGGTTGTTGAATGGAAGGGGCTAATTAGATAAATTATGATCCATGCACTTGATGAAATACTACAAAGCCATTACAAAGCTTGCATGGGAAAATGTCCACAACATATAACTAAGTGAAAGAAGCAGGCTACAGGACATGATATATAATATGATACCACTTATGTAAAGAAAAAAATACATATGACATGAATAGCATCTGTGCACAGAAAACAGATCAGAAGGAAACACACTCAAAAATACCAAAATATCAGCTGTGGCTTTATTTGTTTATTTTTTTCATCATCCAGGATATACACAGGAACCATGGCTTTTTCAGGTGATGGGATGATAAGAGTATATTTTCATTTTTTTGGTTTTCCAAATTGTATACTAAATATATTATTTATTTCAGCTATTTAAAGTAGCAAAATCAACAGTATTTTTAAGCCTCTTATGAATCAAAAGGCCCTGTCTTCACACCTGCAGTGGAGAAACCAAACAAGCTGTGGGCACTAACTCCTACCACGGGAACCTGGTGGAGGTGGCCTGGTGGAGGTGGTGCCAACACCACCGATGCTCAGAACATCTGTTAACACCCTTTGCTCTTAAAGAGCTCTTCACAAACCCAGAGAGAGCTTACTGAGGCAGCAGAGTGGGCTAAAAGAGAGAGCATGCCTCCCCTCTTGAAGCCATGGCGAGAGGGCCACCCTTGGTGAGCAACAGTGCAGGCTCTGATTCCCCAGCCTGACTGGCCCAGAGTCACCTGGCAGGCTTATTATAGGATAGAGTCCCAGGAATCACCCTGAGAGATTCTTTGCTTGGGTGTTAAAAAAAAACAGTTTTGCAGGTGATGGTTAGCTCATTTTGGGTGCAGAGCAGGGGCTGCCCCAGGTTGAGGCTGACAGATAATGAGTCAATGGCAAAGTGGGTGAGCTTTGGACCCCCTGCCCCCGATGCCAACAGAGCACCTCGACTTTAACCATTTTGTATATTGGAGTTCCATATGAAATCTCATTTGAAGAATAAAACAAAAATGAAGCCACTCCATCAGCACCTGAGGGATTAGCCCTTCCTTTTCAGGTGGAAGCCCTGCAGCCCTGCCAGGAGTAGCTGACCAGGTCACCAGGCAATCTGGTAGCCTCCCAACTCCCTGGTCAGGCCCCAGCTGCTCCTGACCTATACTCACTTCCTGCTACGTATGAGGTCAGAGCTCTGGTGACTTTAGTGACAGAGCGGGGAGAGGTGACTTTGATAAAGACCAGCAAAGAAGCTTCTAAAAATAAAATGTGAAGAAAGGAAAATGATGCTTACGTAGCCCGCTTCCACACCATAATCAGTTTGTCATCTCCCCCAGAAGCTAAATACATCCCACTGTTTGACCACCGCACACAGTTCACACATGCTGGGAAGAAAAAAAAAACATGATGATGAAAATCCAGTAGTCATACCCGTTTGCTTTCTGCAGAGTTCGGCAAGATTTAAAGGGTTTATAAAATCTAATCTATCTGATCTATAAGGCATCTACTATGTGAGAGCCCCAGAAAAACAATTCAGTTTGAGCTCAACCTGAAGTGGGGAGTCTGGAGGGGGAAAATAAGCATAACCTGAGAATTGTTCGTGCTGAGTGAAACAGTCAACAGGAGGCTTATTTTCAAGAAAACTAATAAATAACTAAGTCTCATCATTCCAAAAGGGCATCTATTGATAAGACGTATTTCTCAGTAGGGATTATTCTCAACATGAGAGCATGGGCTGAAAAGGTTGAGATGCCTTTTCCAGAACTTTCAGGAGAGCAGCTTGGTAGAGTATAAAACTCTGACCTCATCCCACCTGTCAGAACCAGCCTTTTTACATTAGGATTTTCCAAACATGTCAGTGCTGCAGATTGATTGATTCTGCACTTACAAGTTCAGATCAGCGGAAATTCCCCCAGACCCCTGAAGGGTCAGAGTCTCCAGGAGCACTCAAAGCTCAGCCTTTGGGAGACCTGAAATATGACAGATGCTAGCCAAGTTGTAGCCCCCACACAGTCTGTGAGTAATTTGTGTGCCAGGTCTCAGGACGCTGCGAGGCATCCTCCCACCTCTGGCTGGCAGGACAAGAACACACAGAGCAAAGGAGGGGCTGACATCCGAAGGCCAGTAACTGTTAATACATCTCGGGGTGGGAAACTAAGGCACTACAGCAGGAAAGGAAACCACAACACTGTCCAGTGGCCAAAAGGGTCCTGGCAGAGAGCCTCAGAGTGACACAGTGCCAGATTGAGACATTTTGGCGAGTTGTCTCTTATGCACCCTTCCCCAGAACCCTGCAGTGTCCGGTTGCTGGCCCCAAAGCCCCACGGGATCAGGCAGTAACGACTCATGAGCAGGAAATCACCAGAGGTACCTGCGGACTGTCCAAAGACGGTTCTGTGGGCGGGCCGAGTCTTCTGCTGAATAACTCACCCAGGTGTGCAGCCAACATCTGTGCCTTCAGACAGCAGGCCGAGGGGAGTTACTGCCGCACGGGGCCTTATCTTTCTAATTACAAACACACGTGCTAACCTTGGGCACTCTGCCAACACTCAAAGCCTGCAAAGGGCCACTCTGTAATACCTAAGTGATTGTCCATCTGGCAAAGCATCTTGGGGATATTTTCATCCTTCTCGTCATCCTCCTGGAGGACTGGAGACATATTCCAGATCACAACCTTCCCAGAATCCTGCCCTGGAACAAAGGAACAGAAATAACTATGTGCAAGGAGTAGAAATTTGATATTGATACGATAATAACCATGAGAAGTCCTTACTTAGCTTCCACAAATCATGATTAACTAGATCTAAGGGGACTCAATTTGAATTACTAATGTAAGGTACAGAAAAGATGAAAAAAAGCAAGTATTCATAGGGACCAGAAAGTGTGTGATTTTAGCGGTAAGTTGAGGCCAACCTGACTTTACGGAAAGCACTCTGGAGGGGACTCAGAGCTTTGCTCTGGCCTCTAACACAGATCCCACAGGGTCCCTTAGAAGGCTGTCATCCCTGCCCAGGACCCAGACTCGTCTGTAAAATGAGGAGGACAGAAAGTCAGTGTCCCGTGACCCTTTCCAGTCTGGAATGTGTACCCTTACAAAGCAAAGAGAAAAGCACACCCCATTGGGGTTTCCCTCCCCTTCAAGGTGTCACCGGGAATCCACAGCTGTTCCAGAGCTGACCGGTTGCTTTGAGACCCCAGTTTGAAATGTATCCTGAACACAGGAAAAAAGGCTCATTACCTTCTTAGGTGCCCTCTGCAGTCAACTATGGACAGGAGATCAACCAAAAGAGGGGATTTAGGGTTCCTGTGGTCATAAGCTGATGCACTGCTCTGCTGAAAAATATACCTATGCATTTTAGTAATGATTTCTCTTTCTACACTTTCCATCACTGATTCCTAACGAAAGTCTAGCCCCTCATTTAACTTTCTATTATAGAGGGAAAGAAACCAAAGAACACCTCAAAATGGACATGCCAAAATTACCACAAAGCATGTTTGAAACTGTCTTTGGTCAATATGTTAAAATATTTCCTAAACATCTCTGCTGGACTTTACACATCTTATCCAAAGCAAAGTGATAAGGTGTGTCTCCTCTGGAGACAAAGGGCAAACCCTCTGCTCCCCTAAGCTAAATCCAGACTCCTCTCAGGTGCAGTCCACAGCACACAGGAAGCAGAGAAAGGCCTCCCTGCCCACAGCTTCCCTATACTCCTTTCTGGCTTCCTGCCTCTGGCTGGAAGGGTCTGCTGGCGACCTGCCCTGCAGCACCCGAGGACCCAGAACTCACAAAAGCACTCTCCAGGTGCTGCCTACAGAGGTCTGGCTGGAAGGAGGCCCTGCTCTGGGGTAAAGCTGTTGGGGGACTAGGCTCTGTGGGAATGCTACATTGGGCTACCACGTATACATCTTGGTGTCCTGGCATGAAAAAGAGCTTCGTCTTTCCAAACAGAGTCATGTCACTACAATATTGCAACAGATGCTAGCTGAAGCACACTGATAGTACTACAGATGCTATTAGGTTATTAAGTATGAAATGTCCGATTTCCTTAGGCACTAAGTTTGACAGTTGCTATCTCTGACATTTCACTTTGACACCTCTTATTTTATTTTTATTGTGACAATACATCCTCATTCTTTCAAATACATGGTTTGGCTTGTGATTATCTTTAAAAATTTTTTAGAGCAATTTTTGTCAAACCAAGGATAAGTGAAAAATTTGTGTTATTTTCGATTTTTAGTTCCATTGTGGAACCAAAACAAGGCAGACAACTTGAAATATCAACGAAGTGTTTGGGACGAATGTGGCTAATGAATGCACAGTATGTCAATGGTTTGAGAAGTTCCGTTCTGGTGATTTCAATCTTGAAAATGAGTCACACAGGTGACCTGAGACCAAGGTGGATAATGATGAGCTGAAAGCTGTAGTGGAAGTGAATCCATCTCGACCTATGTGTGAATTAGCAGCAAGGTCTGACATTACTATTCCAACAATATTGGACCATTTGAAACAAATCAGCAATGTAAAGAAGCTGGCTAGATGGGTTCCGCACGAATTAAATGAGCGTCAGAAGAGAAATTGTCTCAAAGCTTGCCTTTCTTTGCTGTCAGAATATAAAGGCAAACCATTTCTACACCGTATTGTTACATGTGATGAAAAATGGATTCTTTCTGACAATTGCAAGCATTCAGCACAATGGTTGGATAAAGATGAAGTGCCAAAACACGGTCCAAAACTGAATATTCATCAGAAAAAGCTAATGGTGTCTGATGGTCCAGTACTGGTACTATCCACTACAGCTTCATGAAACTTGATTAATCAATTATAACCCATGTCTACTGCAGCCAGTTGAGTGAAATGATGAGGATGCTTGTGATTAAGCAGCTGAGATTGGTCAACAGAGACAGACCAACCCTCTTGCAAGACAACGCTCAACCACATGTTGCACAAACAACACTGCTCAAACTACAGAAGCTGGACTTGGAAACTCTCTGTCATCCACCATATTCACCAGATCTTGCACCAACTGACTACCACTTCTTCCAGGCTTTGGACCACTTCTTGCAAGGAAAAATAACCAGTTCTCGACAAGCTGTGGAAAACATCTTTCGCGCTTTCATCGCCACTCACTCTCCAGGCTTCTTTGCTGCCGGCATAAGCAAGCTACTGTTAAGATGGCAAAACTGTGTGGATAGTTTAGGTGCATACTTTGATTAATTGTACTGCTTCATGTTTGAGATATAATAAACTAGACTTTTGATTCAAAATCAGACATTTCACATTTAATGACCTGATATTTTCAAATGGCGTGGAAATTCTTACTTGTCCACACTGTACTTTCTCTCTTACTCAGTTAAATTACTTTGACCAGAAAATAGGCCTAAAACTACATGACAATGTAAGCTTAACCATCCCTCCTTTTCAGATGTGAAAAATGCTGACGGAGCCCTCACCTCTGGGGTTGGGCTTTGTCCCCAGGACTACCTGCCACTTTCCATGCTCAATAAGCTTGGCCTGGGGATGCCAACTCATTTTAATATTAATTCAATAAACAGAAATTAGAATAACCCCACTCCCAAAATATTTATAGAGAGCATACTAGAACCAAAAAAGGATTTTGATTTAACCTATTCAGATAACAGATTATAACCGTACATTTTAAACTGAGTCACATCCACACTGAAACAGAGCACCTAAATGGACAACAAGAGAAACAGAGCAGGGTGGCAGCATGATGCCTCCCTTCCTTATTTCACAAACGTACCTTGTCCTCCAGTTGCGAACTTGGTCCCGTCAGGGTGAATATCGACTGAGAAAATCGGCTTGCCTGGAAACAAAGAAAAAACCCATACAACATCTAATTTAGCTTTTATTCATGGAGAAGAGCAGCCGACTCAAAATTTTAAAATACTAGCTATTCAAGTAGTATCTCTAATCATCACACCTAGGGCAAAATGAGCCACAGATAAGTTACCCATGAGTAAGGGTGGAGTGATTTAACAGTTTCAGTTAAAGTCTAAATTGCTAGAAGATGCTCTAAGCAACCTGAAGTAGCTGAAAGTCCAACAGTGGGACAAAGCATTCTGTCACTGAAAACGGCTAAGCCCACAGGACACCAGGGCATTTGTCTGCCACCTTGCAGGGTCATGTGTTTGTAAGAGTTACAAGTGGTTCACGGTAACACTCCTGAGTCACAGGTGCTTAGTGAAAAAAGCACAGGGTATATACCTCCAGACATTTATCTGTTGCATGGATCTGCACTTGGCTTGTTGCCTGGACAGAGAGTACTTCCCACCCCTTCCAACTGGCTGACAGGTAAGCAAGACCAGTGGCTGACTGCAAGGAAGAGGTGTTACTTCTCTCATCATTTGCTTCCAAAAAGCCCTCCTGTATGTTTGTGCTATATCAAAGTCCAAAGAAAGTCTGCCTTCTTGGCATCTCTTCTGGCTGAACCTTCTTCACAGCAATACACTCCATGATAAATTAGATGCTCAGTTCCTCCAGAAGAAAGGGCTGTAGCTGTCAGTTCTTAGAAGCCCCGCAGGACCCACTGTGGGCCCAGGCCTGTACTAGGAGCCCATGAAGCAGGCTGGCTGGCTGAGCGGACCAGATTGAAGAAAGCACTTTAAGAGCTTGAAACCCAGCAGACTGTGGAACATAATCCTGGGACCTCATGCCTGGTGGGCATTTGTCTGTCTCCCTGGTCTGCTTTCAGGCCAAGGAAGCCAGAGCTGCAAGTGTCTCACTGCTCTTCAGCCTCTAGCATAGTACTTGGTGAGTGGTATCTCAGTAATATTTATTCAGTGACAAATTAGATGCATGACAACAAACTGAGCATCAGCAACTGCTGATACAGACAATGGGCTATTGCCAAGTCTCTTAATTGAGGCAGTTCTGTCTCTGTCACCCACAAGGAGGCAGTGTAAACACAAGGACGAGGGTCACCAGCCCCTAGCATCACACAGCAAGTGCAAGTTAGGCAGGGGCAGGGGCAGGCATTGGCTGCCTGAGAATGGTAAAGTCCTGCCAGGACTCCCAGGTGAGTGCAGAAAATCAAATGCTGGTATCCAAAAGGCAATGCCCAGCATGGGCCCCAGGTGGCACCCAACTCACCAGAGAGCCACACTCATGCAGTCAAACCAACCATGAGCTTCCACAGACAGGGAGACACACTAACATGGTACAGATGGAGTATCCCTTATCTGAACCTCTTGGGACCAAAAGTGTTTTGGATTTTTTCGGATTTTAGAATGTTTACATGAGATATTTTGGGGATGGGACCCAAGCCTAAACATGAAATTCGGTTCTCTTTCATATATACCTTACACACATAGCCTAGAGGTAATTTTATACAATATTTTTAACAATATTGTGCACGATACAAAAGTTTTGACTGCATTTTGACTGTGACCCATCACATGAAGGTCAGGTGTGGAATTTTTCCACTTGTGGCAACATGTCAGTGCTCAAAAAGCTTCCAATTTTGTAGTATTCCAGATTTTGAATTTTTGGATTAGGGATGCTCAACCTGTAGTAGGGTAAACATCTGTGTGAGGCCACATGTGAGCAGGCGTGGTAAATACAAGCACCGTTTTTTCTTGGAATCAGTAGAAACCCTCAGGGAGTTTAGAAACCACACTATATATTATATCATCTCTCGTATTTCTTAAATTTCAAAACAACAAAAGCTACCACAACAGGCCCCTGTCATCATACTGGCAGCCCCAGCCTGGTCCCTGAGTCTGCTTAGTCACCTCCAGGTCCACATACAAGGGCCAGAGCTGCATGAAGACAGGTTAAGTGCTGCTGGCCACCTTCCTGGAGCACATGCAGCATGCAGAAAGCCATCCCAAACACGCGGGAGGCTTGGTCCCAGTGTACTCTGAGCTCTCATTCTGAGGGTTCATGAGGCAAGCCCCAATGCAGCTCGCACTTGACCCAGCTCTGAAGGACCCGACCCAGCAGAGGATGCACTCAGAGGCCCGAGGAGAGAGAGCATGCAGATCAGTGTTCTTCCAGAGCCTGGACAGGGTAGACCCTAACTAGTCTCATCTTAATATTCAAGAGAATAATTCAGAAAACTATACACGGTAGGGTAAGAAAGGGCAGGTGCTGATAGTACAGGTAAAAGGATCAGAGGTGCTCAAGCCTGTGTTTTCTCATCTGTGGATCCAGACTCACACTGCACACCCATGCCCTTCCCAGGCACCACACTTCCCCCATGCTGAGACACCAGCCCAAGCTGTCTGAGCCACCCCAGCAGATTCCACAGACCCAAGATAAGCTGAACCTGCTGAGCCTGGCCAAACTGCAGAATCATAAGCAAATAATAAAATCGCTATTGTTTTAAACCAGTAAGTTTTGGGGTAGTCTGTCATACAAGAGAGACAACCCAAAAGGCCAATTCATTCGCTTTTGTGCTTAAGCCAACTTGAGCTGGGCATCCGTAATCTTAACTCAGAAAGTGCTACATGACAGTGTCAGTCTTGATGAGCAACAAGGGCAGAGCATCCCTGGCCCTGAGTGCTTTTCAGCCCCATGAGTCTGTGAGACACAGTATTATATTGTGCCTCAAGAAGCACATCGGAAACACCTGCAAGTCACAGGCCCCTGACTACCCAAGAGCGCACACAGGCTGAGCCAGGGTGTGCTGAGGGCTCGGGTGCACATGTACCAATTAGAGGCTATGTCCTTCAGACCACAGATGTTTCCTCAGTCTACATTGTGGATTTCTACTATGTTTCTGGTATTGGGCTAAGCACCGAGAAAGTAAAGATACATAATCATACTAATCTCACAAGTAAGACATCCAGTGATGCACCCCACAAGTAGCAAGACACCTGACTCAGCCTGGGGCTTCCCGCAGAAATAACAGCTGAACTGGGTCCCAAAGGTTGAGGAGAAGTCAGCCAGAAGAGTGGAGTGGGGCAGGGGAGAGGAATTTCAGGCAGAGGGGACTAGCATCGAATCAAGAAATAGCCTGAAGTACTGCTGCAGAGCAGAGTGTGAGTAGAGTGTGAGAAAAGAAGTGAGAGGGATGGCCAGGGCCTAGCAGGCACCAGTCAGGAGCTCAGCCCTTGATCTAAAGACACTTCTGAAGCAGGGGAATGCCAAGGTTAGATCCACGTTTTTGCTCCACAGTAGGCAGCAGTGTGGTGGTGGAAACAGGTCTGGGCTTTAGCAAAAAACCCCCTGGGTTGATTCCTCAGCCCTGCAGCTTACCAGCTACACAGCCTTGAGCAAATTGTTTAATCTCCTCAAACACCAGTTTCCTAATCTGCAAAAATGGGGAGGACACATTCACCCTTACAAGCACCTTGTGAAACAGATTAAGACACCCTGTCACATTACTTCTAAGATGCATCCATTTCACATTTTGATATTTTATTTCTGAGATCAGGACGCACCCTGGTGAAAGGTGTGACTGGTTTAACTGGCACCGATGCTTCATGTCTTAGCCATGTGCAGGAGATGAGATGACATATGGTGGTGGACCTGTACAAAGACACCAGCGTGGCGCTAGCTCCCCATCTCCTCACAGCACTGGGCCCTTCAGCCACTCAAGTCCGTCAGTAGGAATGAGCCTCTTTTCAAGGGTTCTCTGAGGTGGAGCTGAGCAGAGCGATGTTATGGCTTGGCTAGTTACTTTCCCTGTGGCACAACATGGTGATAAAAATGAGTTAGTTCCCAACTACCTCCTGCGTCTGGGCCTTTCTTTGTATAGAGACAGAAATAAAGATAAATCGACACACACCCTAGACTCTAGAGATACCTGGCAATTGCCTATTCTTGGATCAACGCCAGACCAGAATGCTGCTGTCCCTGCATTTCTCCTGGAAGCCCCACTTCCAGGTCAGCCCTCTGGACACCCTCTTCGGCCCACACACAGCACTCTGCTGAGGCTCTTCTGATAGAGCTACTACAGTAGCCTACCACCTACTGTTGGGGGTTTGCTGATTTGACAACAGCAGCATAAATGCTTTCCATCTGGCAGGGAATAAAGAGTATGTTAAGGACGCTTGGGATTATGATGGGACATGGTAAGGTCGAATTGTTCCTTCCTTCACCTCACGGTAAAGATTCTTGGAGGAGGCCCAAACGTGGAAACTTAAACTCTGAGCAGAGGAAGCTGGCCAGAGAAGTGGAGAGGGCACAATCAAGGTCAGCTGGGCCTCTCCTCTCACCAGTCCCACGAACCTTTGGTTTTTTTGGCTCTGAAAAGTCTCTGGGCTTTTACACTCTAATAGCTCACTGGGTAGATGTGACTGGAACATGCGTGCACATGTCCTGCTGAAATGCTGCTCCCAGGAACACTTCTCCTGTACTGTCCAGTTAAAACTTGGTTTTAACTAATGTTGGCAAATTTAGAATTAAAAATGGGAAAATGTTTGAAACATTTATTAAATGAAAAAAGTTACAAAACAATATCAAAATATAAGGTGGGTGCAAATGACATGACCCTAAAAATTCACACAATACCATTAGTGCTAATAAATGAATTCAGCAAAGTTGTAGGATACAAAATCAACAAACAAAAATCAGTTGCATTTCTATACACTAACAATGAACAATCTGAAAAGAACAATAAGAAAACAATTCCATTTACAAGAGAATCAAAAAGAATAAAACACTTAGGAATAAACTTAGCCAAGGAGGTGTAAGACTTGTACATTGAAAGTATAAAACATTGCTGAAGGGAATTAAAGACAGAAATAAATGGAAAGACATGCTGTATTCATGGATTGAAAGACGTAATACCTTTAAGATGTCAAAACTACTCAAAGTGATCTGCAGATTTCAATAAAGTCCCATATCAAAATCCCAATG